TACTGTCGTATGAGCTTCTATGTCTTCTGTGACTTTGTGCGAAGCCTGACCAACTCCTAAAGAAATCGCTGTAACACCCGCTGTAGCCGCTGTTACTATAAGCGCTGTTACTATAACTACTACTACTAGAGGTACTCCAACTTGCATCGTCTACGCTGAGACCTTTCTCCAATCTTGTAATTTCCGCTTGAAGAAACTTGAAAACCTCAGTGCAAAACTCTTCATTGCCAGGGTTCTTATCTGGATGCCATGACAGGTACAACCTTCTGATGATTCTTCTCTTTCTCTCTTCGGGTAGTTGCCAGGCGTTCTCCAATGTCTTTCTCACTTGTCGTTTTGCGTCATCAAGATTATCCGGTTTGACTTCTATGCTTTCCTTGCCAGTGAAGAGCTCAATYTCTCCCCCGTTTTCGTCTTGTGTACGGCGATAAAACTTGTAMAGTTTGTCTGCATTTACTTCAATATGTTCGGTGTCRGAACCAATATTGATTCTGTACCTCTGTGGTGATATTTCTTCCACAATGATAGCATAGATGAACGTTGGAGTACCATCTTCKCCGCGAAGACTTGGGTCATCAAGTTCGTAGCCCACGTATTCACCTGGTTCAAAACGTGTGAAMGCATTTTCCAAAAGAYAGTGATCCTCTATGTGAATRAAATGACCAGGTTTTGGAAAGATACTAGGATCAGCATTAGAGTACGAATTGTCTTCGCGTATTTTCAGACGGTCTAGCAATGAGCTWATTTTGTCCAGAGGATATCGCAGCATCGTTGTGAGATGAACAATCGTTCTATCGAGTAGTTTGCCAGTGATTCTATCAATGATTTCTGCAACTCTTGAAACGTACGCGTTGATGTCTTCTCCGTCTTCAACATAGATGTTGCAAACGTCTAGTGTACCATCATTCTTTCTCTCTTCGAAACAAGCAACCTCTGCTTCACTCTCTGGTATGGTGGAACCTTGGTAAATAAGTCTGGTACGGAGGTTTTTGACACTATAAACATTAATGCAACTAAGACTTCTCTGAATTGTGGTTACAATATCATCTTTCGTGTCTATTTCGCGTTCATATTTAGCATGTCTAACCAAACGAATTAAACCACAACAAAACTCGCGTGACGTCAGAGTGTTYTTCAAATCTTGAGTTGCGTTTGAAAATGTGACATGTTGGTCGTCTTCTGCAAGAGCTTCGTGTACTTCAGATGTCAGCATGATTGGCCGAAGTGGTTCTGGCAGCATGTTTACTAAACGATCATCATTCTCTACATTCAGATCRCACTCTTTGAATTTGACAAGAATGTGTCCTTGGAATCCACGCAGACGATCTTTAAAATGGGGAGCGTCACTGAAGAAAATCTCAGAAGATTTCCTCACAAACACCCAGTTTAAATCTGGATTAGCTGGATTTTGCCGAATTCCTGGTAAATATAGTGACCGTAAACTACAGGCATCGATTCCGCCATTTTTGATTATGGTTACAAAAAGACCTTTGGTTGCTTTTAGGRTTGCTTTAGTCTCATTAGGATTCAATTTGTTTTCTTTGCACTGCCTGTGGATACAATCAAGAACCATTGCGTATTGCGATACAGTTACTGTTTGTGTTGCTCCAAGGCCCACAAAAAGGTCACCATAAGGAGCTAATTCAGGAGGAATCTTGTACAAGTATGGTGGAATTTCATCTTCCCTCATAAGCTCAACAGCAACTTGTTGGGGACGTACTAAGAGATTTCCATCTTCCACCAGAATGCAGCGAATGCCCTGGAGGCCAGATGTTATGACATCAGAGTTGTTATCATAGTTCTCCCGCAAAAACGAGTAGATTTGCGTCATGACATCAGTTGTAATACGACTATTGCTACAATCTAGAGCATTGCTTTCAGGTCTGGTATCCTCACATCTACAAAGTGCAGCACAAATCTTTACACAGTGGCTTGTAACAATCTCGCAGGTTGGACGTTCAAGAATTCCCAGATTTTTGATGATTTCCTGCTTGYAGTTTTCTRTGTTGTTTAAACTACATTTCCCTCTGTAATTTCGGTTAAATGCCCAATTTGGGAGCGACCGCGGGCTAGCGTAACTAGGAAGAATGTTGACACTCGTCCAAACTATTTTATCATAGTGGTAACCAATCATCGAGCCTCTAAAACAGACGTATGGGCTTCTGCTAAATGGTGGATGCAATTTCTCTAGTTGGCTGTCAATCCCTTGTCGTAGTATAAACGAGATGTCGYGCACCTTATTGAGCAATGGGCTTGTCGCTATGTTTTCCCTTGAAAACAAATGTGAGACCAAGATTTCTGATTTTTCTTTTGTTCTCTGAACCGGATTCCTTTGTCCTTCAAGTGCAACCTCTTCGGCAAATTTGAGAAACATTTCATCGGTTACTTTGTGAACCAGGCCAATTTTGTGAAGAAATTTCAACCAGCCATCYTCACAAAAAGGTTTGGCAGGAAATCTTTCCTCTGGCAACATAACATTGAACACCYCCACCGAAGGATCATAAAAATTGCATGCAGATTTTAATGAACCATCGTGAGAGAGATCAAATTCAAGATTACGAAGGGCTTGCATAAGCTTCTCCTTGCTTTGGTTCAAATAAGCTTTAAGATCATTCTCCGCTTTCACGTCTAAACCATAAAATTTAGAAGGGTAAGGATTTTCCAGTTCGCAAAGTAAAGTAGAAATGAACGTCAAGTGGGCAAGCCTCGCTTCTTTACTCATATCTTGGAATTTCTCAAATATGATATCACAGTAGATATCGACTTCATTTTTTGAATCGCATCCAAGAAAACTAAGAAGTTTCTTTAAAGAACCATACTCGCTAAGAAACACAATTCCAGACTTCTGTTCCCATTTATCCATGTCGTTGCTTGGGATTCTTTTCGACAAAACGAATGCCTTCTTGTTTCTTATGCTGATGTTATTGCCATGGATTGTAGTGTAAAATGGGAGAGATTTCAAATCGTCAACATCCTTTGGCTGAAAATCTTCGATATGATCATTTAGATAGTGTAGAACAGCCAAGCAATTCATTGAGTGTGACCTCTGAAAGAGTGAYGAGTCGACTTTTAACTTATGTAACAGCACTGATAAAAACAACCTTCCATCATCTAAATTGGAAATAATCATCAGTGGGATTTCACAACTGCTAGTTGGGGATGTCAAATACTCAGTTCCTTGAAGGATTCTACAATTCAGTTCTGGCAGAGACATCCGTTGGATGGAATCTTTCAGSGAAGAAGTTGTKCTACTATGAAAAARCACAGTTTCTGCCAATTGCAACGGTGCGAGAAAATGCCTGTGTTGTGGTTGCATCTCGTTACTACGCTGTACATGGTAAAATTCAGTCACTGGAAGGAGGCACCAGTGCTTAACTGGTTCAAGAAAATGCAAAATAAATCGTTTCTTCTCTCTTGTTCTAGATTTTCTCTCTGATTCTTCCAACTTTATTTTCTCGAGTTCATGTAAATCCTTTGTCCTTTCGCGGAATTGCTTTTCTGCTTGCGCATTGTGCTGGTCTAAAGCTGGTCGTATAGCACTATCAAAGAATCTCCAGACGTTCCAGATCCATCGTCCAGAAGGTATCTTTGTGTCTTTCTCTACTGGATTCCAGCTGACATACTTATCAGGTGACCTGTATGSCACCTCACTGAGTACATTTGGAAGAAGTCTTGCAAATTCTGCTATGTCAAATACTTTAAAAATCTGAGGCACCACTTCTTTCCTAGGCTGATCATAAAAGACGCGCAGGTTGAATAGTTGSCGATGAACAAACAACTCGCTGCAGGCAGGTACGAGATCATAGAATCCACTAAGGTACACAGGATTATGCTTGTCGAAAACACGAAGATGATTATCTTGTGTTARTAAGAGTGGTAAACCATGCAGATCTTGACAAAATGTTGACTCCTTTTTGCAGTAAATAAGAACCAAGAGCAAATTATCAACACTTTTAAATGGTGTACATTCTATTGGAAGTGGAAGAACACCAATYTGGCKTTGTAAAAAAGAGCGAAAACCRTAGGTGTGGAAAAACGCCAAGACCTCCTTTGGAGAAATTCGATTAACGCTTACTTCAGAATCAACAAAGAATTTATAGTARGTTATTGGCATGTAAAGCAAGTTAAATCCCACAGCAAGGAGCGTGTCTCTTAAGGCAAAATATTTCTTTAGCTTGCGGTCTATGTTTTCACCATCTGCTTCGTTCGTGCAAGGCTTCATATYATCAAAAAATACTTTCTCTTCACCTTGTCCTGTTGGTGGCAACCATTCAATTCTTCCTTCACCCTGCGACTCATCTCTAGTTACACTGCTGTAACGTAAAACTGGAAGAACRCGACATTCTTGCATACTCAAATGACGATACACACTTTTTGCTAGGGTGACCCAGTAAGATTCTTTCAATTCTAACGAAGGAAATAAGCTGGCATAGTTTTCAAGAAAACACTCCATTTCCTTCCGGCTTCCTTTAAGCACAGTGTGGTTAYATCGTACTGGCAGATTGATAAAACCTCTGATCTCCTCCAGCATTAGAACATAACAAGGGGCAACCACTTGCTTTAAAAGGATCTCGTTCCATTTGCTACGATAATCAGATGTTTCGCTTCTCCACAGATTACGCCTCGCTTCATGGTCAAGAGCAAAATGGCCGTTGATATGAACRGGCAACCCTGTTACGAAAGGGAGAGGAAGAAAGCAAAATGCTTTCCCTGAAGGTTTGTCATTTGAAGAATTAATCAAAGTTGCTACACCGCCACGGGGAAGAAGGCCTAGTTCCCCTTGCTTAAAAGCTTTAACAACACCTTCCTCATGACATATATCTTTGTTGCACTCGTATCCAATTTGTTGCACAACCAGCCACTTTTGACGAACACCATGACTATCTTCAAGATGGAGGATATAGGAAACTTTACGTACCGGAATTTCGCTAAATGATATTTTTCCACTTTGCAATTGCTTTCCGATTGATTTGACATCATTAGAAAACTCTTGTCGCTTCTTTTCATCGTCTTCAGATATGTGTGATCTGACTTGATATGTCATTTGAATGCTCCCATTATCTTTGTCAACTTCGTGAATCGAGATTTCTTTTACATGATTAACAAAAAGTAATGCTTCAAGTAGCTCTTTCTGGAAATCATTCACCAAAGAGTTAAGCCCTTCAAACGTCACTTCTTTGGGGCTGATCTTTGACCTCTCAGCCATCTCCTCATTGCGAAGTGGAAATCTRAACATCGTCCCATTCTCAATAGGAAAGTGATGCTCTAGGTAACAYGGCCATACATCCGTAAAGGTTTTCCTTAGAACGTCAAGTTTGTCGATTTTTATTCCAGGACTTTCAGAGGTAGCACAAGGAACGTACTGCAAATTAGGGTCAAATGCACACATTACCTCTCCGATTTCCTTCCCTTTTGAGAGGAAAGAAGGTACATCAGTCAGGTGATAAACAGCATTAAATCCCACCCCATACTGTCCAGTCTTGTTTGGATCATCTCCTTTGCTTCCCTCACCAAGACTTTGTATTCCCTCGATGTCACGATTGGTAAATGGAGCGTCGTTATAAACACACAAAGCAGGCCCTTGAAGGGGTTTCCAGCTTTCTTCAAACACTCTTTCGCTAGCGTGATGGCGTGGATCTTTGATAAAGCARATCTTGGTTGCTTTTGCATCGTCCGCGTTCTGAAGAAGCTCTTTCATAATTGAGCCATCACAAGGATAACCAGTTAGAATTCGTTTCAGTCTGTTTGTCAGCTTTTCCTTCTGTCCAAATGGCATACCAATCGCAAATCTAGAAAAGGTCTCCTGTCTTCTTGTCTTCACTCCGAGTGCAATGGAAATGTGTAATGGAATGCGCTCACTTGCATACGTTATATCGGCTTCGTCAGGCATCCAAATGCAGTCCTTTACGCATACGTCAGCGGATGGCTTCATTATTCTATCAGAATCAGGTWAGAAAATTTTCCCATGCTCAGCCAACACATCGTCAAATAAAACTTGTTTTGCTCTCATKGATTTACATAGCAAATTTAACATAGAAACGACTTTCTCGATAAGATCGTCATCTACTGCTCTGTCACCATAGTCATCATTTACCTTTCCAAGGGCAGTAACGTAATCACCAATTTCAAAGGCTTCATGTGCTCCGAGTAATTTGAAAAACTCACGAAACTTCATCCAATCTGAAGGCAATATGGATAGATATGGTGGAAATRTCAATGTACCATGAAACGCAATCTGGCTTGCTGATAGAAAGTGAGAACCGACCAGGATAAACTTTATTGGCTTTAAAAAACTTATTACTGCTTCGTCTTTATCAGACAGTCCACGTTGGAAATAATCGTAGAGTTTCTCACAAGCTTTTTCCACTTCTTTGATAACACTYTCTCCTTCAGATTCTTTCACTTCAATGACATTCTGTAGCTGAATTTTGGCTTGGTTGAGTTCTACATTCTTCGGTATTGCCAGAAATCTTCGAACTTCTGAACAAACATTAATTGTTCTATCATCYAGAATCGGCACAGACGCACCTACTAAATACTTCAACTCTTTGGGATAGAGTTCAGCTGCTGAAAGGAATGTTGTCTGCTGRTATTCATCCCCCTTCCATCGAAAAGGGTAACTCTGAGGTTTTTGCAGAATGGGAAGAAAACATGTATGTTGCAAGCTTGACCTAATACCACAGGGATCACTTTCATTTTGCTTAAGCTTTTTGCCAACGAATTCTAGCAAGAACTTTGTCCTTTGAATAGATTTTTCATAGCACAGCTGACCTTGAACACTTTGAGCTCTCTCAAGGATTTCCTCCCATTCTTGCTCATCTTCACGCATACCCAGACTTTTAAGTTTMAGTAGACGTCCCTCAGTTGAAAACKCMCCGAAWGGAAACTTACCATCGTCTGYCTCGTACAAGCGAGCTGCACTACCGTTGGGATGAATCAATTCTTTRGGGTACTTTAAATGATTCCCASACGGSGAAGAKGGTATGCAGCGGTGTTCTCGTACTAGAGATTGAAGATCTTGATCATCAAGAGCATACAAAACGAGCGMGTTTCTTTGTTGTTCTTCTATTAGTTCAAGAAAAGGGAACACCACTTCCCGAAAAAAACGTTCYTTKTCAAAACAGCACTTCTGCAGGCAGKGACCTARACCATAATATTCGAATGTATGAAAAACAGCTCCTGGCATGTCAATAACGACCTTTGRTTCAGGTGGAACGGCTTTGAATACGTCAAAAGCAACACTTCCAATCTCGTCATCATCTTTAAAAGACGGATCCAGAAAAGCAATGTTATCAATACTCGACCATGTCTTGCCATCTGTAAATAATTCAAGATCTTTCTCGTGAGAGCATAAGGCTTGATAGAAAGAYTTGACAAAAGGATGCCACTGTGGTTTTAAATTGCTGATTGTGGGCCAGAGCGTGTGGAAGTGGTACTCCACGTCTTTAAATTTCCTTTTGACATCTTCAAGYAGACCAAGGAATGCTTGTACAATGACCTGACTCATTAACATCTGGTTCCATTTGGCTCCATGGTCTGATTTGTCGTCTTCTGTACGCTCACGTAAATGACGTCTACTGTCGTCTACTGCAAAGCAYCCATTAAYGTGGATAGGAAGACCGCTATGAATAGGAAGAGGAAGGAAGCAAAACACTTTTCCACCTTCATTAGGAGTCGACCGSCYARCAAGCATTGTTACATCKTCGAGTTTTTGCATCAATGYTAAAGGAATAACCTTACCACACGAAATCATTTCTAGTTTGGCGGCAACTCCAGCTACAGGACTTACACCTGTTGTAATAAGAAAAAAATGTAACAAATATTATAATTATTGACGAATTTGGAAAATATTATTAAATTTAAGAGTAAATATTGTAAACATAAGATTGTTATCATATATACTTCTGTTTATACCTTTTATGTTTCGAGATAAAGTAAGAACTTCTCCGCCAACCATGCAGGAGTTAACTASCCATAGGCTTTCAGCTTTTGTATTTTGCTCCGTATCTACAACCTGTAGCAAATCGTTTCCACGTTCTGATAACGTACAACAGCTTCTGATAACAAGGGATGATGTCATCAGGACTTCAGGCGAAGATGAGGTTAGCGAGTTGAGTAGTACTGTCGATGCTTTTAAAATACTGCTCTGTTTCACAAATTCCTGCTCAATTTCCTTCAGTTGCTGTGCTTGGTGTGACAACGACACTTCACACTGAAGTCTGTGTATCACATCTTCGCAAGACTTTGAAATGGAGAAGAGTTCAACTGGCTGCGATGGATCCTGGTCTTCATCCCTCAAATAGTAAACTCCAACAGTGAGAACGTTYTGCGTGAATAGCAACAAAGATTCAGCACCATGCAGCAGGATTCGAAGAAGCTCTTTTACTTGATTGTCATCGTAGCAAAGGTTTTTGATTTTGCTTTTCTTGGCTTGATTGGCTGTTCGGAGAGGAAAGCGGAAAAGTGTCCCATTGTACGTCTTATTCTTATTTCCGGGGCTAAGATCACATCCAAATATACCKTTRTARGGTTTGAATTGGTTWTGMAGCTTGTCRAATCTCTTTTTTGAGGAATCAACCCTGATACCTGGCTTACTTCTGTCTCGTATTGCCTTTCCAAGRTACTCAGTGTGGGGATCAAGGATGACAATAGAGTTTCCACTAACAAAACTGGGTACATCGGTCAAATTGTACACCGAGTTGAAGCCAAGTCCAAATCGTCCGATCTTTCCATTGTCTTCTTCTTTTGTGGCAGCATTCAGCTTTACAACGTTTCGGAAATCTTCTTCAGTGAAGATGGCATTGTTGTATGTCCAGAGRGCAGGTCCYTGGCACTCCTTCATACCTTCATCAATCAAATTYGTCATGGCATTGTCATTTGTTCGTTCGTCGTAAAGAAATCGTACTTCTGTAGCTCCAGCATCATCAGCGTTTTGTATAAGCTCTTTAGGAACGGACAAGCCATCAGTGTATCCTTCAAGTAATCCTTTAAGGCGGTCAAGCAAAGATTCGGACTGTCCAAAACTTTCACCCATTTCAAGCTCATCTGCATCGAGTATTCGACTCATCAAAGTAGG